CTACTCCAAGTGGAAGGTCCAAAGCTGCAGGATATTTCATTCCCAAATAATTATTTTCACAGTTTCCTGGTTCTCTGATAATCCAACTGACATGAGCAATAAACCTCACAATGCAACTATACCACATTGCTTACATCCAGGAGCACATCAGCATTTCTACCTATAGCCCTTGAATTGTCACAATATGAAGTGGCTGGTGGATGCTAAGGTGAAATTTACCTTTCACTTTTCTTATTAACTAAAGTGCCCCTCACTGAAATACTGGACAAACACAATGAGTTAGGAAAACCAGGAACAAGCTGAAAAACCTCTGATCTTTCCCTAAAAATAAAACCCAAAAAACTACATGTTAATGAATGGATAAATTTCCAAGATGCACTTATCTGTAATTCTTGATGCCTCTTTTTTTATTAATAGTTTACCTAGGAACAGCTTCGATCATGATGAAAATAAGTTTATTATTCGCTAAGGCTTCATTTTCAAAATGTTTTAGATAAAAACATTTACAAATTAGATAAATTTATAAAAAACATTATAAATTAAATTTATAAGTAAGAGGATGATCATTAAATGAATAACAAAGGAGCTAAGTTTGGGGCCCCCTTGGTGGCACAGGGGTTAAAGTTTAAGTGCTATCAAGCTATCCCCAGCCTCTTCAGCATGAGTTTGTTTCCCAGCCAGGGAGCCAACCCACATGGTGTAGCAGACCTCTCCTGTCTTGCCCACTGCTCTGGTGAATTTCAGTAGATCTGCCTGTTTTTCTCCCCTTTCTGTCTCTGGTAATCTGTCACCCCCCTCCCCCCACCTCTGGCCTACACTCCGGGTCTTGTATGCATAAATAAATAAATCTTTAAAAATAATTAAAATTACAACTAAAGAAAAAAACAGCTAAGCTTAATTTCAGAATTCTTTTTCTAGTGCCCATGCTGTAGAACTGTCATTCTCTGCTGCCCAGTGACACACCTGCCTAGTTTTGAGCCAGACAGATGAGTACAGATGAAAAGTGTAGTGGGCCTCCCCAGTGGCACAGCAGGTTGAGTGCAGCACTGTGAAGCTGTCCACAGCCTCTGCAGTGCCTGTTCAATTCCCGGCCAGCTAGGGAGATGCCCACATGGAGTGGCAGACCTCTCCTGTTTTACCCGCTGCTCCCCTTAGTAGTGTGTTTCGTCAGTCTGCTTGTTCTGTTCCCTGCTCTGTCTCTGGTGAATCCTCTCACCCTCCCGCACATCTGGCCTGTACCCCAGCTCTTGTATAAATAAATAAGCTTAAAATAAATTTAAAAAAAAAGAAAAGCATAGTTATAGACACCCTATGCAATGGCACACTCTTCATAAGCAGCAGACACTTATATGTAAAGATTCATATGGCACAGGGGTCAACCACAATGTCCCAGGCCCAAGAGCCACTGCATTTGACTTTTTCACTTCAAAGCTCTTCTTGCCAGAGCTACTGCCACTGGAGTATCCACACCCATCACTGCTACCATTTTGGAAAAGTAAGTTTTTTAAATATCAACTTAAAGATCAAGCAATTCTAAATAATAAACATGAATGTTCTAAGAAAAATAATTTTTGCAGGTCCCCAATTTGGGTTTACTCTGGCACTAAATTAGTTTCACATAAAGCAACAATAATGCACAATCACAAAAGCAAGAGTTTCGATCTGAACAGAGACTAATTCTGCCTCCATTCATTCACTGTCTGTGAGGTATGTGCAAGACATTCTTCTAGGACATGGGGCAGGGCTAAGAATAAAATAAAGACCCAGCCCTCCTGCAGTTTATTTTTCATTCTAGTTCAGGAATTGGCAAACCACAGCTGGTTGCCTATGTTTTCTGTTTTCAGAAACCAGTTATTATTCATACAGAGCCATGCTTCTCACTCATCCCTTTAGGTATTGGCTGTGGCTCCTTTCCTGCTACAAAGAGAGTAAAGTAGCTATAATACAGATGTAGGAGCCATGAAACTAGAAATACTTACTATTAGGCCCTGTTCCAGGCTTCGGTATACAAGTCACTTGTCTTCCTATCCCGATCCTCCACCCTTCTATCATCCCCCCAAAACACATTCCTCACCCTTATTTATTGCTTTTACAACATTCACATGCAAGAAGGTCTCCCTCATTTACTGTAAAACCTTGCTAACAAGAATTGTGTCATATTTTTTTTACCATCAATGCCCACAGCATGAAATTAAATTAGTTAAAGAACTTGTGTCTCATCTAGTACATGTTAGTGGAAAGTGATCAATCCTTTGGACTAATAATTTTATGGATAAGAGGTCAAAGCCATTCCCACTGCTTGAAGCATTCCTTCCCACTACATACACACACACACAGAGAAATACACTCTCACTTTTTATCTTCCCAGACCCTTGGCCACCCATTTTAGGCATGGGGGTTCCATAATGTCTTCTAATCCCTGTCACAACAGAACAAAAGACTGAGGTGCAAGAATCATCTGAATCCCACATTAGACTGTAAGGTTTCTGATAACAGAGAACTTACCTGTGTCACTACTATCTTGCACAATATTAGATATCTAGTAGGTATTCAAACTTTGTTGAATAAATAAACCTCTATATTTTTATAAATGACAACTATAGAAAAACAAAAAGTGTGTTTTCAATAAAATCAATATTTAGAAGTAGGAAAAAAAAATGGTTACATTCCCTACTCATTTCATGTTCACATAATACATCAATCATTTCTATTAGACATTCCCTTGTCTTCTTAGGCCAAGGTGATGGAAATGAGGGTGAAGGTGCAGCACCTGAGAACCCAGGCTGTAAAAGCGGAGGGAGATAGAGGGGACACAGCAGGAAATTAAGATTGCTGCTATTAAGGAATAAGGAAATTGATTGAGCAAACCAAGAAGAACATGAACCAAGTTTTTCACTTTCTGAGAAGATATTTCACACACATAGGGACATAAAAAGAACCCTGAGGTATAGATTGGAATTGGAGGTATTCATGAGAAGTCATGGGTTTTAACTGACAAACATAAAGATACAGAAATTTTTTGATGTGTTTTTACATCTGTGTACATATATCCATACATCACTTCCTAAGTCTTTCTTGAGTGTAGCCTAAAAACTATGGCATCCCAGCAGCAATCAACAGTCCTGACACCCAGATTTTGCTTTATCAGTACCATCCTCCATAAAAAAAGAGTGAACTTAATGTAGTGGAAACATATGTTGATTTATAATGATGCACACCAGAAGCTTACCTAAATAATAAGAGAAAAAGGGCATTTTTCATAAGGTAGAGAAATCTCACCATTTGGAATTCTCATACTCAGATTTTGTCTTATATACTTAATGTCCAAAGAAAAATAAAAATCAATTTTTGGAAAATATAATTACTACTTTAAATGGTGGTTTTATTACCAATCACAAACCAAAACTAAGTTAAAAAAAAAAAAACAACCTTCCACTCAGAAACTTTACTGAGTGGAAGCCAGCCCATAGGAGAAAGACTGGAAACACCACACCAACAAAAGGATGACCTTTTTCAAGGATGCCTAAACCAGAAATGTGAGTTAGCAAGCAAAACAATCCCTGGTGTTCTGGTGTTCTTTAAGCTGTAAAGAAAGAATTGCAAGGTTGCACTGAATTTTTATGAACATAGGAATAAACCTAAGGTAGAACTAATTTATTGCTGAAATGCATAACATTGAACTGTTAAAAATGTTGAGCAGGTGACATTTGTGTATCAAATTACTAGTCTACTAGTTTTATTTTTTTCTACTAGTTTTAAAACAAAAGATAAATGTAACCTAGTGTCCTTTGCATTTTAAATCTAGTCATCCTGCCTATATTCAAATATTCTACTAAAGAATATTTGATACTAAAGAATTCAGACACCTGAAACCAAGTAGATTCTCTATAATTGCTCATTTCCCTCCCACTCTACAGACCATTCCACTACCACATGAATTCATTGCTAGTTGAACAGAATAAAAACCATACCATTTTTGTTGATGTGGCTATTAAGATAGACAAAATGCACTGAGCAGACTTACAAGTTCTCTTGTCACTTAGGAGTCAACTGCATATCTTAAGCTAAGTTACATTTGTCTTACATTTAAATAGTTTATATAATGGAAGAAAATATTAAGTAACTTGTTATAAACTACTACTACCTAAACAGGCCACTCATTTAAAACAAGTTTATTTAAAATCCAAAGCACTTTCATAGCGTATGATCACTTCAACCTCTCTGGAACAAAATCTTGCTTTCAGAACATAAAGTATGTAAGTATCTAAAATTATCTGACTCGTACAACAGAAGATCTCCCTTTCAAGATTAAAAAAACTGGGCCTCCCTGGTGGTGCAAGGGGTTAAGCACAGCACTATGAAGCTGTCCACAGCCACTGCAGCACAAGTTCGATTCCCAGCCAGCCAGGGAGCAATCCACATGGTGCAGCAGACCTCTCCTGTCCCGCTCACTGCTCCCCTCAGCAGTGTATTTCAGTCAGTCTGCCTGTTCTGTTCCCCACTCTATCTCTGGTGAGTCCTCTCAGCCCGCCCCCCCCCATACCTCTTGCCTGTGCCCCAATTCTTGTATGCATAAATAAATAAATAAATCTTTAAAAAAGGATTAACAAAATTGGAAGTCAGAGATTGTGATCATACCTCCAAGGCCAAGGAGTTGTAAATCAGACAGTCAAGTCTCTTTCCACTAAGCCGCACACTAACCCAAAAAAAACCCCTAAATGACACATTAATTACTTGGTTTCTCCAACAAGAATTGACACATACACACAACCATTTTAAAAACAGTCTGGGAATTCCTTTAAAATGTAAACATATAAAAAACATGAACTCTAGCAATGATGATTTCACTTCTAGTTTAGCCCAAAGAAATGAAAGCATGTGTTTGTATATTTATACAGACTTGCACACAATGGTCTGTAACCACTGCATTTGCAACAGGCAAAACCTGTGAAGTTATTGTCTGTCAAGAAAGCAATTTAAATAAAAGTTCATGCACATACTTAACATTCTTCAGTATTTCTTTCTCAAATGTTTTTCGACCAAGAAAGCCACTCTTCACTTTTACTCGATAGCAGATGTTATGAAAACTTAACACCGCTCCTTCACTGCAGGCCTTCATGTCGTTGGAGGTGGTCCCAGGGAGGCCATTGGTGTTTCTTTGTGACATTGTAATTAAAACCGGGTCTTTACTGGAAGACATCTGGAAAGTTTCTTCTGCTTTTCTGCAGTGGGAGAAGCAACAGTGAGTTCATAATTCAAATAAATGAGATTGTAAACACTAGATAACAGTGCACTTAAGTTCATTTTGGTACAACCTTGAGTTATAAAATAAGTATGTCCCAGGGCCTCCCTAGTGGCGCAGGAGTTAAAATTTCAGTGTTATCAAGCTACAGCCAGCGCCAGCCACTGCAGCATGAATAAAATTTCCGACCAAGGAGCTGACCCACATGGGGCAGCAGACCTCTTCTGTCTCGCCCTCTGCTCCTTCAGTAGTGTATTTGGTAGATCCGCCTGTTCTGCTCCCTACTCTGTCTCTGGTGAATCCTCTCCCCCCACACCTCTGGCTGACACCCCAGTTCTTGTATGCGTAAACAAATAGAAATAAATCTTTTAAAAAATAAAATAAGTATGTCCCAGATATGTAATATACGGCACGGTGACTGCAGTTAATAAGACTTTATGATGTATTTTTAAATTGTTGAGTAGAAAAAAGTACTCTTCCGAAGAAAAAAAATTTTCTTATTATATGTGGTTAATAGAATTATTGTAGTAATCACTTTATATTATATGCAAATAATCAATCACTGTAGTGCAGAACTGAAAGTAATAATGCTATATGTCAATTACAACTCAATGAAATAAAAATAGAATCCAAATTTTTTAATGTAAAATATCCCATTAGTTATTTGATTCTTATTTAAGCAAAAATATTTTTAATATATTGGGTTCAATAAAATAAATTTAAAAAATTAATTTCATTTAATTTAAATTTCAATAAATAGCTCTGCTTTCAATAAATAGGCTGCGTCACAGTAATAATGATGCCAGTGTGTGTGTAGTTACTATACAGCTGTTGCTGCCGCTTTACCAGAGTTCTTGTCTCATGAAGCCGTAAAAAAGAATTCACAGACTTTTCAAATAAGTAAGCAGAGAGAAGCAAATCTTGTCTTAGAAAGAAAAGTTTATTTTCACATTTCAGACTTGTTCACAAGCTGTTAAGTTACCTTAAAGTCTTACACTAATTAAATATTTTAAAGCGTTTTTTAAAACTTGCTTAGTGAAACACTTTTAACTTCATTAATAAACTTAATACTCTCTGTTCTAAATTTTTTAACTGCTTAACTATTGACTTGACTATACTAATCATTTTTATATATATAATTATTATCATTTTATATGTATAATTATTTTTTATATATAATTATTATATAATATAAATATATATAATTACATAAAATTTTATATATATAATTTTTATTATTATTTTATATATAATTATATATATATAAAGGACAAAGAACAAAGACTCCCAGGTATAAGGTACCTGGGAGGGGCCAAGATGAGCCCGTATGGGGTCTTGCTTCAGGAATATACACTTTCTTTCCCTCATTATCTTAAAATTCCAGTGGTCTCACCCTGATTGGTTAGTTCTCAGGTGGTCTCACTTAATCTGCTACTGAGAGGGGATCTTCACATTCCTTATCTTTCATGGTACTCCTTAGTGAATGTCTTGTTGACCTTAGTCCTGGGAAGTTTGTTATTCCCACTGGAATTAGTTACATTCCTCTTGATGTCCTTATCTCTGGAGACTTCCTTAACTCTCCAGAGGTCCCCACCTGCAATGTCCTTAAAACTACCTGATTACCCTAACTTGCCCTATGACTCAATAAGAACAACCCTGGCACCTTTATTTGAGTAGCCTGCCTTGAAAAGCATATTAAGATACAATTCAAGATCCAGGTCAGACTACATCATCACCATCACCTGTTGCTTCTTGGTTCTTTAATTTTGTAGTTTGACATTGTTATTACAAAAAGGGGCTTAGAAAAGGAGTCGGGGTAAGCAAAATTTCTCTGAACTTATAGCTCCCAATTTTACATCCCTGGTTGTTATGTTCCTTCAATCACCTTAGAAGATAAATTACAAAATTGTTTAGGATGACATGATTTCCTTAAAGAGTGAACACATTTAGCAAGATTTAGAATTATATATAAAAATGATTAGTAAAGTCAAGTCAATAGTTAAGCAGTTAAAAAAATTAGAACAAAGAGTATTAAGTTTATAAATGAAGTTTAAAGTGTTTCACTAAGCAAGTTTTAAAAAATGCTTTAAAATATTTAATTAGTGTAAGACTTTAAGGTAACTTAACAGCTTGTGAACAAGTCTGAAATGTGAAACTTCAATAAACCTAGTTTTAACTTTTAAAAATCAAAGTAATCCGTGAAGAACTGGCTATGATGAAATAACTTCTCTAAAGCAACCACCCTCTTAAGTTGCTCTCTAATAGGGGATCCAAAGCAATCAAGACTTGAGGAGCCAAAATCCTAGAAAGGAAAGAATGTGAAGGCAACCCAGCATGCTGTGTCCTTCCCTGAACGCAAATTGCAATCTTGTGGGTCAAAACTCAGACAAAATAAGCAGAAAGAAGTTGCTAGAAGCTAAAAAACTAAGCAAATATTTCAGCAGTCTGTCAGTGCTAAGGAGACAAAATTTGGAGCTGCAAGCCTTCCAAAGAGAAGGTACCCTAGAGAACCAAGCTGTTGAGATCCCAGATGGGCTATGCTCTGGGAATAAGGAAAAAACAGAAATAGACCAACCATTATGCCATCAAACTGATCTGCTCATCCTTTGCCTACTAAAGTAAAACCTATTTTCTTTTTTTTTTTCCCCAAAGATTTTATTTATTCATGCATACAAGAACCAGGGTACAGGCCAGATGTGAGGGAGGGTGAAAGGATTCACCAGAGCAGGGAACAGAACAGGCAGACTGACTGAAATGCACTGCTGAGGGGAGCAGCCGGTGAGATAGGAGAGGTCTGCTTGCCATTGGGTAGCTCCGAGGCGGTGTGGATCAAACCAGCACTGCAGAGGCTGCAGACAGCTCCACAGTGCTGCGCTCAACCACCTGCACCCCCAGGGGAGGCCAACCTATTTTCAAAGAAGTTATCACCATCCAAATTTTCAATAAAATAGACAGAAATCATCAAACACTGACTTTCAAATAGCTGGCAATGTTTAAGAAAATAAATAAAAAGGTAGACTATTACCAAAGTTGCAAAGTCTGTTTTTTTTTTTTTTTTAAATCAATAGATGAGTTGAACAGTTGTTTAAATGCAGATTACAAAAAAGAAATAGTAAATTGGACAATTGGTATGTAAAAAAACCTCCAGCCTGAGATGTTGATGAAAATTATCACATTGAGGACCTCCCTAGTGGAGCAAGGGGTTAAGACACAACATATGAAGCTATCCTCAGCCACTGCAGCACAAGTTTGATCCCTGGCCAGGGAGATACCCACATGGTGCAGCAGACCTCTCCTGACTCACCCGCTGCTCCCTTAGCAGTGTATTTTGGTCAATCTGCCTGTTCTGCTCCCCACTCTGACTCTGGTGAATCCTCTCACCACCCCCACACCTCTGGCCTGTACCCCAGATCTTGTATGCATAAATAAATAAATCTTTTTTTTTTTAAAAAAGAGAAAATTATCACATTGGAAATAGATTTAAAACAAAACAAAACAAAACAAAACACTCCACACTGAAAAGCATGGAAACCACATACAAGAGATTACGAAACATATGTGATACGAAGAAAAAGGTCTGGCAACTATTTCCACTTTTGGAAACTGAAAGAGTAGAAACCATTTAAAGATTAGCAGCCAGGAAACTAAAGGTAAATAGATTAAATTTTAATCTATGAAGACAATGAATGGTAATAATGAACCCAAGCCCTCAAACTACTGAAAGACAAGGCATATGTAACCTCTGAACCTTACATCTGGACTTTCTAACTTCTTCAGCTGTCTCTCCATGTATTAGAAACCAAAATACTCCAGCGAACTCAATCACTTCCCCAGCTGCCATCCCCATTTGGTGTTATATGACAAAAGGACACATTCTAACTCTCTCAAGACTCATTAAGAGAAGTGGGTCATTGGCTCAAGATGAAAATCTATGTTTTTTTTGTGATATTTCTTGCCAGTACAAAACACCAACTGGAACTAAAGTAGTCAATAAAGATCATCCATACCCATACAAGATACATATCTAAAATGTTCAAATATCTTAATAACATTAGAAACGTGTACATGCAATGAGTTTGCTTTCGCTGTGACAGACACTGTAACCCTTACTGCCTAGGAGTTGCTTGGTTCTTCACTAGGATTCTAATAGCCTCCTCAAGAGAGAGCAGGTTCTTAATAATTCATGAGCCACAAGTCAAGTGAGTACATGGGTACAGAAGAAGCACCCCCATCAGCTGAAGCACATTATACCCCTTCAACAAACACAACTTTGTAAACATTTCTGACCATGTATAAAAAATATGAGTAAAGCATTCCTCTAAGATGAAACAGAAAAATACATAATAGTAGCAACAAAATAAAGGCAACTCCTCAATAATAGCAAAGAACTCAATTTTTTTACTAATGCACTATAATGGGTTTAGATGATTCACTACAATAATTGCCTTCAGGAAAATGTTACTCTTTCCCAATAGACGGAAGTTTTCTGGGCATATGTGTCGGGCTGAGGGGCTTAGCATATAGTCTTTGTATATTAAAAAGAAACCTTATACAAGAAAACTCAAAGTGATATAAATGTACAACAGCACAGGGACTATAATCAAAACTATGAAATTTGAAAGCTGCTAAGAAAGACTTATTGTGATGATCATTCACAATATACACAAATGTTGCATCATTATGTTGAACACCTGAAACTAAAATAATGCATGTCAACTATACCTCAATTAAGAAAAAAGAATTTGTTATCTAAGCCAAGCAAAAAACCTCCAAGTCATATCTAGGTTTCCCTATGACAAAAATCTTTCTTGCTTCCAGAGTCCCTGCTAGTCTTAATTGGGGTTTTATCACTTTTGGGACCTAGATGCACATCATGTAGACCATGAAGTCCTTTGATAAGAGAAGCATCTAAATGTTTTCATAGCTCATCTGAACCCAGCTAACTCATGTAATGTGGGCTGATTATATCTCTCAGTCTAG